CTATATATATATATATATATATATATATATATATATATATATATGTGGTGTTGACAGCAGGTTGTTGAAGATAAAAATGAATATAATTAATATTGTCATTATTTAAAATGCAGTAAATGGTTAATTTCTTTGTCCTACATGGACCTGTTGTTATAAAAGCTGCAGTGTTATTAGATTTTTATATATTTTTAAAATTTTGAACCAAATCTCAAAATTGTCCTATGGTGTGACTGTCTCAAGCGTGGTTCAATAAATTACAACTTTTATAAATTAAAAAGAAAATGTTAATAAATACCTCCGCCATACTTGTACAAGTGTCTATTTTAGTAAATGGCAATCATTTTTTTCATCCATATATTTCTGAAAAAATTATTTAGTTTTGTTTAAAAAACATGTTGATATTGTTTCTATCAAAATTAATCTTTCTTTCTCCTTTGACATGTTCAAAATTGAATAGAAATACTTTAATAACTACCATTTCTGCTCTTTTGTGTGACGTAATGTCCTATGGTGTGACACACATAATAGAACCACATATTTGTTTTTATAACAAAATATCTTAATAAAACAGTAGGGGAGATATAAGTATCACTCAACTTAAAATGGTATAATTTTCAGCAATTTTGAATGGATGACAGCAAAGTTTGTCTTGAAATTGTCCAACAAGTCAAGGGGAAAAAATTATGTTAATTATAATTTCATATTAAATAAATAACACTATATGAAAATAAGTGTCTCACAATGAAGATAATTCTCTCTCATGCTTTTTATGTATTATTAAGAGTTTTTTTTCTTAATTTTTGCTATGTCACACCATAGGACAAATTTATGGTACAGTTCAGTAAAAATAAAAACAATGAAAGAATTGGCGAAGTTAGTGACGCTTTATATTTTCTCAAAGATCAGACTTTACACTACATAAACATGCATTTCTTCTTCAAAAATGGTCTTTTACAAAATAAGCATTTTTTACTGCCTATTTGCAACTACCCATATATATATATAATAAAACCAGGAAAAAGTTATTTCATTTTTGAAGTCACATCCTCACGTGTAAAAATAACATTTATAAAATAGAGAGTTCCGGTGCTTGATTCTGATTGGCTGAGCCACGTTCGAAGCTGTTGTAAATTACTACAAAGTAACATACACCTTTGTTTACATTTGTGTGTTGCTCGGCAACCACTTTGTAGCAACCACAACTGTTTCTGAGGAGCTACATTGTTTGGTGGAAGAATACTGTTTTTATTAATATCATTACACTTTATTTGCTCTGTTTTATTTTGTGAAACCTTACTACGTATATGGAATAACCGTTTTATAAACGCAATAAGCCCCATGAAGCCGTGGTTTACAGTGAATTTATAACAGCCTAAGAACGCCCCTTAGCTGTTATAAATTCACTGTAAACCATGGCTTCACAGGGCTTATTGCTTTATTTTACCGTTTTCCACCATGTTGCTGAAGGTTCTGGCTAGCTCCATCAGGAGGGCCGTTCCCACTCCAGACTTCACGGCTCCGGGGCCCCACGAGTCCCTCTGGGCCCCGATGATGATATAGTGATCTGAGAGAAACACAAACCGCCGGTTAATACTCATCTGCTGATCTACCGCTCTCTTAATCTCATACGGTGCACCAGCGGTCTGACCGGGTTCGATTTTGCCCTCGATGGAGGCGAAGATGTTATTGAGCAGCACCGGCTTCATGGTGTTATAGACGGCCATCTTCACCTTGCGCTCGCCGGGCCCCGTGAAGCCCGGCCCCAAAACGCACTGAACGTATGGTAAACGGCCCTGCCAACCTCGCGGACAACCAGCGCCAGACAACTGACTGAAAACACACACAAACACATCAAACTCATGATTGAGATGCTGCGATTCAGGAATGAAAGGGGCGGGGCTGACCTCAGCAGTTTGGAAGCGACGTTGGCGCTGATTGGCTGAGCCAGGATGATTGGCAGGCCTGAGGACTGGGTGGAAGGGAACTGGGTGTGGTTAAAGGAGGGAAACCCAGGTGTGAACGGGTCACCGGAGCCCAGATGCACCTGCCGTGATGGGAAATGACTGTAAACTGTGTCTAGACACATCTGAACACATAATAGGGAATAAGCATCATCAACTTTAGTGGAGGTTTGATGATACTGTGCTGGAATTCTCACTTGGAGAGGTTTGACTTTATAGGTTCTGGACTTTATAATTAAGAAACATTATAAAAAGTAATGGATTTCTGAATTGAAATGCTCAAAAATGATTTCATCATTAAGAAAAGAGACAAAAACGTTTATTTGGAAGATATTTTAATCTACCCTTTAACATTAGAAGGATTTTGAAAAACATTTTCTTTCTTAAAATAGCAGTACAAAAAAATTACTACATGAAGTGATTTTTATGATGATTTTATGATGTTTAAATGTTTCAAAAACTTTTTATAGATCTATTAGAATGGAGTAAATAACGTATTTTAAAAATAAGATTTGTACATTTTTTCATGAAACTGTTAACGGTTTAAAATATTTGAATAAATTAGTTAAGGAAAGAGTACCTTGTTTAAAAATAAGCAGGTTTACATTTTTGTGAGGGTCTTGGTAGCCCGTAGTAAACTTGTGACTGTTATTGAGTCCGGGATGTGAATCCATCACTTATCTCGATGCGTCTCGGTGTACGACAAAGAAAATAAGACAGAAATATACTGTACAGCATTTAACGGCAGCGGTGATGAACGGCGATCAAAGCGCCGCTGTCACGAGCGAAGGTAGTCGCTTCCGCGAATCATGTCAGTTATTTTCTCTCATCTCGGTTGTTTTGTCATAAGATATACGCCATTAATTGATACCATAAACATATTTCCAAGATTATAAAATCTGTTTATTTCCTTAATCGACAAAAGCAACTTATGTCAGGGAGAGAGTTTGGTAGTCAGTAAAGAAGGATAAGGAATATTAACATTATTGCAGTTTAATTACAATGGCGAATCCATCACGGCGTAGATAGAGGTTTTAATCGCAGATTATAATTCTAATCCTCGATTTGTTAATCTGTGTTTAAAATTAAGTGGTGCAACACAACTCGATTAAAAATAAAACCCAGATCAACAAATCCTTGATTAGCTCTAAGCTTTGCTTAATTTAAACCTTGTTGGTGCAACCCACCCTTAGTGTTTGATAACTTTATTCAATTTCTGTATATTTCCTATACTTGCTGAAGGGCACAGGTAGCTAAATATGACATTTATTATAATGGGTTTATGTGAAGATTGTTTTAAGTTAAATTAAATTAGAAGTTATTATGTTTTAAAGTCTAATAAATGTTAAAATTGAAAGCTCTTAATTATACTGTAATGCTGAATGGCTAGTCAATGGTTAAATATTAGGGGAAAAAAAGAACAATTTCCTAGAGACATCAGTAGTATTGGTATCAGTGATATTCGCCTATATTAAAAATATACTGTCTTTATGTTGTTTCTACATTAATTTGAAGATTGAATGTGAAATAATTGCAATATAAATGCATATTTAAAAACTTCAAATATAAAACTTTAGGTGGTATTAATCGCGAAAAAAATGTAGTTAATTTTTTTTTAATTGATTGACAGCACTAGTTAAAACACACTACTGATGCGCTGCGCTGGTTTATGCGCGGTCGCCATGGTTACCGTGGCCGTTCCCGTGGCGCTGTAGGCGCAGTATCCCTCGCTGTCCAGCGGAATCTCCTCGAGCTCCGCCCCCTCGGAATCCACCAACCAGAGCGTGTTCCGCTGCGTCCTGTGGGAGCAGGGCAGGCTTGTGATTGGCTGAAGCGGCGCTGGCTCGGCGAATGGCAGACGGACGCTCACCTGGAGGGAAACTGCAGCGTGGCGTAGTGCGAGTCGGTCCAGCTGTGATCCATGCGCAGGTTCTGCAGGTTCTGCAGGATTTCTCTGGCTACCGCGTTTCCTTCTGAGGACCCCGGAGGATGAGACGCCCGACTCACCTGCCTGAGCGAAAACACCACATCAACACCAACAGGACCCCCACCACAGGTCAAAGGTCACACCCACGTTCTTACCAGAGTCATTTTGGTTAATGGTCAAATAAAATATTTTATCTTGGGGGTTTTTATTTTGATTCCATTTTTAAATTATTTTAATTTTATAATTGCATTATTTAATGAATTATTAGTAAGAGTTTACAATCATTTTATTTTTACAATTTAGCTATTTAGTGTTTTATTTTAAAATAATTAATTTTATATTTTTATTAGTGCTGGGCAATGATTAAATCGCATCCAAAATAAAAGTTTTTATATAAGTTGTTTATATAATATATGTGTGTGTACCGTTTATTTATTATGTATATATAAAGACGCACATACAGTATATATTTTAGAAATGTTTACATGTATATATTTACATTCATATAATTTATATTATGTATAAATATATTTAATATATAAACATAACATATTTTTCTTAAATATATATACATGCATGTTTTTGTATTTA